TTTAATTTAAGCATTCATAGACCATGCACACACCGATGAATTCAGTATCTTGCTCAAGGATCTTCGGACATGTGGCACACGGAGCCCGGATCGAACCAACCAACTTCCGATTAGGGGACGAACCCTGGATGCCTCTGTGGCCACAGCCCGCCCTGCAGGACAATCTTCAATATTCAGCTGTCCTTTTTCTATAAAAGTCAGCTTTCTAACACATTGGATCTTTAAAGAAAACAATGTGCCAGAGTAAATAATGATTAGGCATTTCTTTAAGACAGGAAATCTCTGTGTATTTGTTTGATTGGAATTGCTTGTTATTGTTAGATGCTATTAATATATATATTATTATTATATACCCTTAAACTGAGTCCTGCCTCCTTTTGGAATCTCGGTGCAACTTCTCATGTTCTGTACTTAGATATGCTATGTGCTAAGCTTGTATTGAAAAAAGAAATAATTTGGTCACATTCTTAAGGTCAGCTAATGTTACAAAACACTAGTGGCTAACCATGTAGCAAATCCACATCAATTGTTAGTTAACCTAGGTGCTAGCATCTTGCTCAGCATTAGCTATCAGCATGTAACTGTATTCAATGTATAATTAAATACATTATATAATAATAATGTAATATGTTATGTTAATGTAACAAAATGATGCTAATTTGCCATTTAACTATATAATAATAATAACATTTTATTTGTAAAGCACTTTTCATAAAAGAATCTCAAAGTGCTACAGAAACCAAAACAACAAAAAAAACACTAAGGGCAATAACACATTAAAATCAGTAACAAATAAAAATACAAGTGATAAAATACATTAAGAAAAACAGCTAAAAGAGGAATTGAAGTGCAGAGTGAAATTAGAAAAATCTAAGGACAACTTAAGAATGCCAGCCTGAACAAAAAAGTTTTAAGCCCTTTTTTAAAAGTGTCCAAAATTATTATTAAAATGTACCCATTGTTTTTCAGTGTCGGGTCAGAGTTTTATTTCCTGTATACTTTTCCTTTTTCTGGACTGGGGCCAGGTTTTCTAAAGTGGGCAGCAAGCATTGAGGGGTGATTCCACTCTAATCCCCTCCAAGTCATATGATCAACCTAGTAAGTTGTGAGGAGGAAGGTCAGGTTAAGCCGAGTCAAGCTGGACGCAGGTGGCCAGATCAAGACAGGAAGTCAGGTATATTAAAGCCTCTTGGTGGCGTAGTGTAGATATTAATGTGATCTCTCGTCCTTTGTCTCAGTGTAACTTAAATGTCCCAAATTCTTGCATTTGAAGGGTATTTCTTTTAAGGCCAGTGGCTTTAAGATGTAATTGCATCAAGTATTTCACACAATAAAGCCCAAAAACAAACAGAATTTAGTGTATTAAGTTATTTTTTCTGTA